TCGCTCGCTCCCATCTCTTTAATCCTTCTCCTTCGTTCAATATCTTCCGTTTACCTTTCCCATCCTTCTCCTCTCTCGCCCCATCTCGCACCTGTATTTTTTATTTTTATTTTATTGATCTTTTACCTTCCCGCTCGTCCCACCCGCCACCTGTTGCGCTTCCCCTCTCCAAATCTCTCTTCTCCTGAAAGTCGACTTTCCAAACCGATCATCTTTCCCTCTACTCTTGCTGCTCTTTCAATCACACATTTTGCCAAACGCCGCCTCCCTGTCCTGCTCCCTCAAATCCATCTGCTTTGCATATTCCTGATTTTCAACCTGATTGCCGCATTTTCATCTTCCCCTCCGCCGCTTTGTTGCTTAATTCCTACTTCACGCTCAATGATCCTGTACCGTCCTCACGCCACCTACTTCCCTTTCTATCGACTTGTATCCTTGCACGCGTTTCAAACTTTTGCTTCCTCGCCTTGATATTATAAATTGATGTCTTTCAACGATCCTTCTACTAACGCATTAGCGGTTAGCCTCCGATCGTGTCGCTGTTAGCGGTTGCGCCAAACCCACACGACAATAAACATCCCGAATGATTCGATTGAGTACCGACAGTACAGCGCACCAAAAGCTCGCACGTTGACATGGCATGTCAAGTTGATGGCCGCCACGACAAAAAGAACCCAAAAATTGAACAAATGCGAGCGACGGGCCATTCGCGAAGACCGAGTGACAGCCGGGCCCCTGGTCACAATTTTCGGCACACGTCAAAACAAAGCATACGCCATCTGCTTCACGCGCTTTCGGTACTCATGATGGAGTTCTCGTCCACCTGGAACCATCCTGTGACACGCAAGCCCAACCATTAGTACCCCCTCAAAGCGGCTCAAACAAAGCAAATGGCGCGCCTCAATACCAAATGGCAGCCTGCCCCCTGGTCACAATTTACGGCGTACGTCGCAAAAAAGCTCACCTCGCATTTTTCACACGCTTTCGCTGCTCGATATGGAGTCTTCATCCACCGTTGGCGGCCCTGTGACCCGCCAGCCCCACCATTAGTACACCCCCTCGAAACGGCCAAGCAAGCGCGCTCCTCAGCCAACACCAAATGGCAGCCGGGCCTCTGGTCACAGCTTTCGGCGCACGTCAAAACAAAGCTCACCTCGCATTCTTCACACGCATTCGGTGCTCACTGTGGAGTTCTCACCTACCGTTCTCCGCTCTGTGACACGCCAGCCACACCATTAGCACCCCCCTCAAGGGCCAAAAAAAAAAAAAAAAAAAAGGCGCGCCTTGGCTCCTCAGCCGACACCAAATGGCAGCCGGGCCCCTGGTCACAACTTTCGGCGCACGTCAAAACAAAGCTCACCTCGCATTCTTCACACACTTCCAGTGCTCACTGTGGAGTCCCCATCCACCGTTGGCCGCCCTGTGACCCGCCAGCATAACCATGAGTACCCCCCTCAAAGCCCAAGAAAAAAACAAAGGCGCGACTTGGCTCCTCAACCAACACCAAATGGCAGCCGGCCCCCTGGTCACAGTTTTCGGCGCATGTCAAACCAAAGCTCACCTCGCATTCTTCACACGCGTCCGCTGCTCACTGTGGTGTCCTCATCCACCAGCGGCTACCCTGTGACACGCCAGCCTCATCATTAGCACCCCCTGGAGGCCAAAAAAAAAACAAGAGGCGCGACTTGGCTCCTCGGCCAACACCAAATGGCAGCTGGGCCCTTGGTCACAATTTTCGGCGCACGTCACAACAAAGCTCACCTCGCGTTCTTCACACGCTTCCGCTGCTCACTGTGAAGTCCTCATCCACCGTCCGCCGCCCTGTGACCCGCCAGCCCCACCATTAGTACCCCCCTCGAAACGGCCAAAACAAGAACAAAGGCGCGCCTTGGCTCCTTGGCCAACACCAAATGGCAGCCGGCCTCTTGGTCACAATTTTCGGCACACATCAAAGCAAAGTTCACCTCGCATTCTTCGCACGCTTCCGCTGCTCAATGTGGAGTCCTCATCCATCGTCGGCCGCCCTGTGACCCGCCAGCCCCACCATTAGCACCCCGCTCAACGGCCAAAAAAAAAACAAAAGGTGCGCCTGGGCTCCTGGGCCAACACCAAATGGCAGCCGGCCCCCTGGTCACAGTTTTCGGCGCACGTCAAAAAAAAGCTCACCTCGCATTCTTCGCACGCTTCCGCTGCTCAATGGGAAGTATTCATCCACCTGGGGCTATCCTGTGACACGTCAGCCCCATCCTTAGAACCCCCCTGAACGGCCCCCCCCAAAAAAAGCAAAAGGCGCGCCTTGGCTCCTTGGCCAACACCAAATGGCAGCCGGGCCCCTGGTCAGAGTTTTTGGCGCACGTCAAAACAAAGCTCACCTCGCGTTCTTCACACGCTTCCGCTGCTCACTGTGAAGTCCTCATCCACCGTCCGCCGCCCTGTGACCCGCCAGCCCCACCATTAGTACCCCCCTCGAAACGGCCAAACAAGAACAAAGGCGCGCTCCTCAGCCGACACCAAGTGGCAGCCGGGCCAGTGGTCACAATTTTCGGCGCACGTCAAAACAAAGCTCACCTCGCATTCTTCGCACGCCTCCGCTGCTCACTGTGGAGTCCTCATCCACCTGCGGCTACCCTGTGACACAGCACTACCGTCAGAAACGCCCGGCGTTTCGCGCGTCAAAAATCGCAAAAATCACTCTTGCTCTTGACTCTGGCAGCGGGCAACATGGATAGCATCTTCAAAAGAGGGCCTAAGATCGGTTTCTCACCTGCATTTGAGCGGGAGTGCTTCGTGCCGGATCTGACCAGGCACCGTGGCTCTTGGGCCTCGCTAGCGCGTCCATCAGCGCACGAGCCATCGCGGCTCCTCATGGGTAGATCGAGGAATTGTCTTGACAACAAATGGCAGCCCAACACGAGATCAGCAAGAATGGTCCATCCATGACGGTCACGCGGCAATGTCGTTTGGCCACCCGTTCATCCATGACGTCGCTTGCACCTCGGCAGCACTTGCCCGTCGCGCCACAACGACGACAACGCACCACCAGGAGCGCGCGCGCGCCCCGCCCATCCGCTTCATCGTGGCGTGTCTGTGAGAAAAAAAAAAAAAATGAAGCCAAAAGCAAAGGGAAGGAAGAGAGGCAAGGGGTTAATGAAGCAAAGATTCATTTTATTGAAGCAAATCATAGCCAGTCAAAGTAAAAAGATGCAGTCGATTTAGCAGTTATTGAAGATAATAAAGATGATGACATTCTGACATTCGGTTCTGTGTTCTGATTCTCAAAAGACTTCCCTCATGTCCTTTGAAGTGACACCGCTCACAACCACGATTAGATTCGCATCGATGTCCAGCCTTCAGGACAGGTTTCGCCTGTCGAATGGTACATCGCATACAGTAAGCATCCATCAACTTCAGAACGCCAATAAACTTGTCAGCCGCCGCGTGGTGCATCAG